AAGTAACACCTAAAAAGCAGGAGTGGCAAGCCATGCCCAAGAAGCAAGAAGAAGAAGCCATGTCGTCTTTAAGTAAGAATGATGATGAGCTTGCTAAACCTGCAACAACCAAAGGGAGTAAGACGCCCTCAAATGTACCCGTTTTCCGATACATCCCGATGTCAAGAAGAAAGAATGGCCAATCCCCATTCGAAACCGAAGCAAGCAAAGCTGATGCACAACGGTACATAGATAATGTAAAGTTGCTCAAGACGAATGCAGTTCTACCTCTGACACAGCTAAGCAACGCTAAGGTTGCAAGATTACCACAAAGGCTTCGTAAAAGCTCTACCAAAGAGAGCGGAACCAAGTTTTCTCCCAACCAAGAGGACTGAAGAAGGTTTTGATCCGAACGCCTACAAACTCATGTCAAAAGCTGGGTACGACTTCACTTCTTCTTCGAATCCTGGAAAAAAGGTTTCAAACACCGTCAACAATAAAGAACGTGACCTCACCGAGACTCAAAAGAAGTTGAAGAAGCATGGTTACGGAAGTTAACAACAACAAAGCTGGACTTGACTTCACACCAAATGCACCCGTGAAGATTTCAAGCCAACCGAAAAATGCTAGCACTCAACATATCAGTGTGAGCATTGAACAAGATCAAGAGGAGCCTAAATCCACCCCTTGAACGCCAGTTTGCGATAGGATGAATCGTTTAAGACCCAGAACGTCAGCCCTTGATCACGTTGGGTGGTCAAAACCGAACCTCCGTCTTCAAGAGGCTTAACAGGCCAACCTCCCGAAGCTCTATTTTTGAAAGGTTGTCAAAACCTAATAAGCAAAGCAACACGGCCAGCTCTCCTCCTCGTCAATCAGCTTTGGAAAGACTTGAAGACAACATGAAGTTTTCTGGAAATAGGGAAACAACGTCAAGGGAAGAAAAGCTCGACAGGCTAGCAGGAAAATGTGATATTCGAAGCTCGATTCCTTCAAGGATGAAGCGTCAAGCAATCTTGGAGGTTGACGCAAATGGACCACTGATAGTAAGAAGGGCGCACCATCATCCATACTGGACAATCTGCATACCAACAAACCCAAGAGGACGACATTAAAGAGGAAGTCCAAGATGTCTTCCACATCACGATCCAAAAAGGCAAAGAAGACGAGACCCTTGAAGAAGATGTCACTGCTGCACCACCACAACTTGAGGATGGGGGGCAAGCCACGGTTGACGATCTCAAGGAGCTCAACTTGGGCACAGAAGAGGAGCAAAAACCTATCTTTGTAAGTGCACTGCTAAGAGCAGATGAGATAGAGGAGTACTACCAACTGCTATCAGAGTACAAAGATGTCTTCGCCTGGACTTACAAAGAAATGCCCGGCCTTGACCCTGTCATCGCTGTGCATCATCTTGCAGTCAAGCCTGGGAACACGACCAATAAAGCAAACTCAAAGGCGATATCGATCCGAGCTCATTCCACAAATCGAGGCAGAGATTGACAAGCTAATTGAAGCAGGATTCATTTGAGAGGTGCAATACCCCAAGTGGATCTCCAACATCGTCATCGTCCTTAAGAAATCTGGACAAATACGTGTTTGCGTAGACTTTCGGGACCTCAACGACGCTTGTCCGAAGGACGACTTCCCCTTACCAATCATTGAAATCATGGTGGACGCAACCACTGGCCACGAGGCACTGTCATTCATGGACGGCTCTTCTGGATACAATCAAATTCGTATGGCTCTCGAAGACGAGGAACTAACGGCATTCCGCACTCCAAAAGGTATCTACTGTTACAAGGTGATGCCCTTTGGTCTAAAGAACACTGGAGCTACATATCAACGAGCAATGCAAAAAATCTTCAATGACATGCTACACAAGAACGTAGAATGTTATGTGGACGATGTGGTGGTCAAAACAAAGAAAAGATCAGATCACTTGAAGGATTTGCGAGTAGTGTTCGAAAGGCTGCGAAAATACAACCTCAAGATGAACCCATTAAAATGTGCGTTTGGCGTCACCTCTGGAAAGTTCCTTGGCTTCATTGTCAAGCACCGTGGTATTGAAGTGGACCAATAAAAAATCAAGGCCATTCAAAGCATGCCTGAGCCAAGAAACCTGCACGAGTTGAAAAGTCTACAAGGACGGCTAGCCTTCATCAGACGCTTCATCTCTAACCTTGCAGGGCGTTGTCAACCGTTCAGCCGACTCATGAAGAAGGATGTTCCGTTTGTATGGGACGAAGCATGCCACAATGCTTTTGAAAGCATAAAAAAATATTTGTCAAGTCCGCCTGTCTTGGGGGCGCCTGTACCCGGGAAACCACTCATATTGTACATCGCCGCTCAAGAAAGTTCAGTTGGAGCACTCTTGGCGCAAGAGAATGAAATCCCAGAAGAAAAGAGCGCTTTACTACCTCAGCCGAACCCTCACCGACGCCGAGTTAAACTACTCCCCAATAGAAAAGATGTGCCTTGCCTTGGTGTTCGCCATCCAGAAACTCAGGCATTACATGCATGCGTACACCATCCACTTGGTTGCAAAAGCTGACCCGGTCAAATACGTCATGTCCAAACCCGTCATGACAGGGTGACTCGCTAAATGGGCGCTACTTCTTAACCAATATGAGATCATATACGTCCCAGCTAAAGCCGTAAAGGGACAAGAGCTGGCAGACTTTCTTGCCGATCACCCAATCCCAGCTGATTGGAAAATCTCAGACGACTTGCCTGACGAGGAAGTGTTCTACATCGACATCTTCCCGACATGGACGATGTTCTTCGACGGATCTGCACGAGCAGACGGAGCGGGGGCAGAAGTAGTATTCATGTCGCCACAAAGGCATATATTACCTTATTCCTTTCAACTAAGCGAATTATGCTCCAACAATGTCGCTGAGTACCAAGCACTGATCATCGGACTCCAAATGGCGATCAATATGGGAATCACAGCCCTTGAGATATTTGGCGACTCCAAGCTCATAATCAATCAACTCTTAACTGAATATGAGGTGAAGAAAGATGATCTCATCCCATACTTTCGGCTGGCAACTCAACTGCTACAAGAGTTTGAGACTGTGACACTAGAGCATGTGCCAAGAAAAGAAAATCAAATGGCAGACGCTCTTGCCAACCTAGCCTCAAGCATGACATTAGGAGAAGATGAAGCTGCAGATGTGCCAGTCTGCCAAAGATGGGTGATCCCCCTCGTCACTGAAATACTACTAGATGATACAAATGTCATCTCAGTACTTCCAGTCGATGTTGAAGAGTGGAGACAACCGCTGATCGATTACTTAGAACATGGAAAACTTCCAGATGATCCTAGACACCGCTCCGAAATACGTCGACGAGCACCTCGCTTCCTCTATTACAAAGAAACACTCTACCGACGCTCTTTCGAATGAGTACTTCTGAGATGCCTAGGTGAGGAAGAAGTTAATCAAGCCATGGAAGAAGCACACTCAGGTGTATGCGGGGCGCATCAATCTGGACCAAAGTTACATTTCCAGCTCAAAAGAATGGGCTACTACTGGCCAAGCATGGTGAAAGACTGCCTGGAATATGCCAAAAGGTGCCAAGCCTGCCAATTCCATGCAAACTTCATACACCAACCACCTGAGCCATTACACCCTACAGTTGCTTCATGGCCATTCGATGCATGGGGATTGGACGTCGTAGGACCGATTACTCCGAAATCATCTATAGGAGAAGCTTACATCCTAGCTGCAACAGATTACTTCTCCAAGTGGGCTGAAGCCATACCCCTAAAGGAAGTAAAGAAGGAAACTGTCGTCCGTTTCATCAAGGAGCACATCATCCACCGATATGGAGTGCCTCGCTACATCATCACTGACAACGGAAAGCAATTCTCCAACCGACTCGTGGATGAGCTATGTGAGAAATACAAGTTCAAGCAGCATAAGTCTTCCATGTATCATGCCCCGGCCAACGGTCTTGCAGAAGCATTCAACAAAACATTGTGCAATCTCTTAAAGAAAGTGATCGGCCGAACAAAAAGAGACTGGCACGAAAGAATAAGCGAAGCACTTTGGGCATATCGGACAACACATAGGACTCCTACCCAAGCTACGCCTTATTCTCTTGTATATGGCGTGGAAGCTGTTCTACCGCTCGAAAGTCAAAATCCCCTCACTGAGAATGGCTATACAAGAAGGCTTGACTGAGAAGGAGAATGCAAAGTTGCGCCTTCAAGAGTTGGAAGCACTCGACGAAAGAAGGCTCGAAGCTCAACAACACTTGGAATGCTACCAAGCACGGCTATCCAAGGCATTCAACAAGAAGGTCCGCCCAAGGTCTTTCCAAACTGGAGATCTCGTCCTCGCATTGCGTAGGCCTATCATCACAACTCACAAGACGAAAAGCAAGTTCACATCAAAGTGGGACGGACCATACGTAATACAAGAGGTTTACACCAACGGCGCCTACTTAATCATGGCAGAAGACGGCTTGAAGATTGGCCCTATCAATGGAAGATTCTTGAAGCGCTACTACCCCTAAAAGGCGACAACCCAAGGCTCCTCGCCTGCACTGCATGGCACAACGCTCCTCCTGGTCTGCACGAGCATAAAAGGCAACACCAACCGCTCCTGGTCTGCACGAGCATAAAAGGCAACACCAAAGCTCCTGGCCCGCAAGAGCATAAACTGTGTACGGCAAAAATCATCATCAAAATCATAAAAAAAAAAAAAAAAAATGCATTTGAACTACGTTATGACTTGATCTCTCCTCAACAGAGGGTACGTAGGCAACTTGGAACGTCAAAACTTCAAGTACAGTCACACCATCTAAAAAAAAATAAAAAAAATTTAAAAAAAAAAAAAAAAAAACACTTTAAAGAATGAAGAGCAAATTCAAGAATGTAAATACTTTATTTCTTTGAAAGAAGAAGTCGGCTTCGAAAGCCATATTACAAAAAAAAAAAGATACTACTTGAAAACTATATCCCCAAAACTACGAAGACGATCTTCAAGCAAAGCTTTCCAAAGTCTTCAAAGTCTCTGCCTCGGTAGGAGACAAGATGGGCAACTCCATAGTCATGCATTTCTCTCGTTCTAGGCGTGAAACCTCCTCTTGGTACTGAGAAAGTGTAGTTCCTTGCTCTGCGAGAACACTTTCAAGTTGCGATGCTTCGATTGCCAACTGCTCTCTCTCTCTCTCGCCAACGTATCTAAACGCGCCTGGACATGAGATAAAGAAGTCTCTGTAACTTGATAATCCCCCGAAGCAGCTTGCTGAGAAGACTGAACTTGAGCTAGTGATGAGTTTATTATTGCTAGCTGATGATCTCTAACATCTGGATTCAACTTCTCCAAGGAAATGGCACGCAAGGAAGAATACTCAGTCGAGGCGGCCATAAGCTCGGCAATCTTGATCTTCAAGGATGAAGAGTCAATGTTAAGGTTGTCAATAACAGAAACAAGCTTCGACAAATCCTCATTAAGCAACATAAGGTCTTCCAACGGGCACTTAGAAATCCTCTCCTCTATATGGCTCTTGACATCCATTGCCGCACTAAGACTGATGCGATGGATGACTTGCTCAGTACCGCTAAGGTTCGGCCCTCTCAAAGAGACCTCAGAGCTAGCTGGCAAAGGTATTGGACGTATGACGGGTTCTTGCATACCTTCACCTACACATGGCAAACTTGGGAGGTTCGGTGGATTTGGAACAAGCTCTGCACCAGGCGGATCCCCGATGTCCCTGTCTGTAGGTAGTTTGCCCGCAAATAGCATCTCCGTATAGGAATAAACATCTGCAGTTGCCAAATCAAAAGAACAAGAAGGCCCAATCTAAAGAAGACAAAGAAAGATGTTAGAAACGAAAGCAAAATAATGAAAGCATAAGAAATCACGAGAGGGAATGAAGTACATACATCTCTCTCAAATGGCACACAATCATCGAGTAGAGGAGGTCTAAACACTTCTTTCTTCTTATGACGAAAATTGACATCGCTGTCAACCTGAGCATCCTCAAGTGGTCGCTTGTTTGAAACTTGTTGACATTGTTGCAAAATAAATCCATCTTCGTGTGAGTCAACTTCATCTCCCGCCTCTTCAGAAGCATTCGGATGTCGAGGAGACAAGCATGGGCGTTGGGGAGCTAAAGTTATAGGTCTATCTTGTAAGGGAGCCGCACTGGTGCAATCAAGAGCTACCGCTTGCATAGGAACCACATGATAGCCCTCTCTCGGCATATCATTGCCCGAGTAAGAAGACTTGGTACCACTTGCCCTCCCCAAGTTCTTATAATTGACCTTTGACCACCAACGAGCATAAACACGGGTCACTGGATTACTCTTGAACTCGTCCTTGGCTGGCAGCATGATAACAGCATTTGTACGTGCACGGGTACAAGACTCCCAATGCATATACACGGCTTGCAAAGATGTTGATTGGTTATTTTCCTTCAGCTTGCCTGGCAAGTTTTGGACAAAACCAAACTGCCTGCTGAAACGGTGAGGACTATATGGCTGAACAATGCACCGGTCTTCTTGCCGCAAAGAAACAAACCCTGAACGAAGACTTATAAGATAAGACAAGTCTGACGAGCGAAGATGCGAATTATCTACGATGCCTCGCCGCGCCGAGCCAACTCTCGCTAAGGGGTCCATCCTCAAACCTTCACAACTTTCAAATAGCGCTCGTGCCTGCAAATCCTCAAGGCTTTTCGTAGAGAGCACACCAGAATACTTCGTCATCAAAGGCCCCATCTTGGCTGCAGTCGATGAAGAAGGCCTTGACTTGTCTAGAGTCGTCAAAGAAAAAATGAGTGCCAAAAATATTCACCCAACCAACCATACACATAGTGGTAAGGAAACACCGCAGCACGATCTTCAGTGTTTGCCGAGTTCGAAACAATGCTCAGGCCATTGTAAATGTTGGCTAAAACCGGAATAGCAAGGCTAAAAAGACTCACCTGCAGCCATCTTACTAGCAATTTTGAAAAACTCCAGGACGAACTAAGTTAACGTCGCCTGTCGGGAAAACAAACTTACAAAGCCAACAAGTTAAAAAAGCAGCTAGGTAAGACTCATCCACATGCTCTGATACTATGCCAAGATCCTCAAACGCTCTCAAACTCATCAGAAGAGCGACATCTATTTGAGCCAATAACACCGAACGGGTCTGAGTCTCCATTTGGCCTAATGGTCTTGTTACGACAACTTTTCTTCGAAGACCTCTTATACCTCATGGCCTCCCAGTACCAAAATTGGATCCATGAGGAAATCTTCACGCCTGATTTACCTTGAGCATCTTGGAAAAGCTTGTGATACGCCCAAAACAAATAGCGGCAACTCACAGGTAATCCTCGGCTATTGCAAAGAGAAAGTTCCTCCGCGCTGGGAACGACCTCGTCATAAAACTTACCATGGATCGGCAAGCCTCCTATCCTGTGAAGATCCCACAGTGAAATTGACATCTCCCCCTGTGCCGTGTGAAGTGTATTGGTCCCTGAACACCAATGCTCAAAGAACGCTCGAAGGACGGAAGGATGACAATCATAACTAAACAAAGATGCGTACACAGCGTGGTAAAGGCCCACTTTAGTAAGCACATCTTTAGACCGGCTTAAGACATCTTCAAGCCACTCCCAATAAAGCTCATCAAAGACGGCTTCTCCAGTAGTCGACAAGGTACCATTCCAAGCCATAACCCCGCTGCGAATATGATCACCAAGAAGCTTAAACGAGGCCGGGTGATGGTCACGAGCATGGTGTGAATGATTCAAAATAAGAACCTTCAATGTGCACGCTTTTTTTCTTCATAATTGGTTGAACAGTGTCTACCACCTCCCAAGATACTTCAGAGAAGACCATGACTTAATATGCATGGAATTGTCTTTCACGGGAAAAGCAAGCGCCCTAGGACCAGTTAGAGGCGGGTAAAGCTTCAGCGTTGT